TTGGCATTAATTTAAATGAATTTTAACGGAATAAAATGTTTTCGCGCGAGATTAATGTGGTGTTATGAGTAGAATAACATAAGAACTTCATTTCCCAGCATGCCACAGTAGTTAGGTTGCAGAGTACAAGTTCGGAAGTAAAAGAGTCCCATGAGTTCTATCCAACACGCCTCGTCTCCTTTATTTTAAATATCACGAGAGACAACACAATTAACGCGGCAGACGTTACAGCAGATGTTACGTTGCTCTATAAATAAACCAGAAACAACAAGCGCGCTGCACATGTCCACGCACGTTTGTTTTGCCAGCCACGGCAGCACGAGACACCGAAAACGGATACTTTTAGAGTTTATGAATGGAAAGTTTACTTTTAAAAAGTTGCCAGATTATTCCACTGACAAGACCAAAGTTACCTGTATGTTTTGCAGTCTAAACTGAGCTATCATCATAGCACGTCGGGTTTGAAATACCACTGAATGGCCAAGCACACAGCTGACATGAGTACTCCGCCCCCTCATCTCAGACAGACAGCTATGGATCATTTCAAAGCGAAGAAAATGGATAACACGCTGATTGCTGATAACTGGAAGCGTTTCAAGCAAAGATTTACTATATACATAGCAGCAAGTGGAGCAGGAGGTGATGATGAAAAACTGAAGGCTCACATTCTTTTGCATGTCATTGGAGAAGATGCTTTGGACATCTACAACAGTTTTCGTTTGGATGAAGCTAATTTGACTTTGGCAGAACTGATGAAGAAGTTTGAAGAGTACTTTGTGCCCAAACAAAATGTGACCTTTGAAAGGTACAAGTTTTTCACGCATGACCAGCAGCAAGGAGTACCTTTTGATCAATACTTGGCAGAGCTACACACGCTGAGCAAAACATGTGAATTTGACACTCTGAGAGACTCATTAGTGCGAGACAGGATTGTTTGTGGAACAGCGGATAATGCACTGAGAGAAAGACTGCTTAGAGAAACTGAACTTACATTGGATGAGTGTGTCAGTATGTGCAGAGCAGCAGAGACCACTAAAGCACAAGCTAAAGAGCTGCGAAGAGGAGAAACAACAGTGCATGCGATAAATAAAGCACAACGGAAGAAAAATACATTTTCCAAACAAAAAGACCAAAAGGAAAAAACTACAGAATTTACATGTGGTAGATGTGGAGGCAGCCACAAGCCAAAGTCTTGTCCAGCATTTGGAAAATCCTGTAACAACTGTGGAAAAAATAACCATTATGCAAAATGTTGCAGAGCCACATCAAAACAGAAAGTTCACACAGTTGAAGAAGATGACGATAACGAGGAGTTTATCGTGGATGTGGTACAAGCTTGTACAGCAGAAAAGGAAGAATGGATCGTGCCAATAACAGTGAATGACACAATTATACTGTTCAAGTTGGATACAGGTGCACACACAAACCTAATATCAATGGAAGACTACAAAACACTGAAGACAAAGAGCAAAATTCGTCCTGTAAAAACTAGAGTGAGTGGATACACTGGAGAACGTGTTCCTGTTCGAGGTGGATGCATTGCAACTTTCAAACACAAAGATCGGCAGATTAGAGCACAGCTACTGATTGTGGATATGAGTGTACAACCAATCCTGGGACTCAGTGCATGCACAAAGCTCAATCTGGTCAAAAGAGTGTTTGTTGTGACATCTTCAGAAGCGGAAAATGCTCAGGATGTACTCATGGAAGAGTATAAGGACTGTTTTGAAGGACTTGGATGTCTTCCTGGACTACATAAAATACGTCTTGATCAAAATGTGACACCTGTTGTACACCCTTGTAGGAAAGTTCCGTTTGCGATGCGAAAAAAGCTGAAAGATGAATTAGAGCGCATGGAAGAACTCGGAGTCATCAAGAAAATTGATGAACCAACTGAATGGGTCAGCTCACTGGTTGTTGTACAAAAGAAATCAGGTGCGCTGAGACCATGCCTGGATCCAAGGGACCTAAACAAAGCAATCATGAGAGAACATTTCAAGTTACCAACCAGAGAAGAAATCATGGCACAATTTGCTGGAGCTAAATGGTTCAGTAAATTAGATGCTTCGTCTGGCTTCTGGCAATTGAAGCTAGATGAGGAGAGTTCCCGACTGTGCACGTTCAACACCCCAGATGGGAGATACAGGTTTCTCCGGTTGCCGTATGGTATCTTGTCAGCACCAGAAGTCTATCATAAGACTATTCACATGATTTTTGAGCACATACCTGGAGTAGAGACCATGATGGATGACATCATCGTATGGGGCTCAACTCGAAAAGAACACGACGAAAGACTGAGACAAGTGCTAGACAAGACGAGGGAGGTGAACCTGAAACTTAACAAAGAAAAATGTGAGTTTGCAGTGAAATCACTGACCTTCGTGGGAGATGTGAGCGAAGAGGGAGTGAAGCCAGACCCGAGAAAAACTTCGGCAATCAACAACATGGACAGACCAACCAACAAAGATGAGGTGAGACGGTTCCTCGGAATGGTGACATATCTCGCCAAGTTTGTCCCTCAACTGTCCACACAGTCAGCACCTCTCAGGAGTCTTCTCGAACAAAAGAACGAGTGGATGTGGTCCCATGAGCATGAACAATGCTTTCTAAAACTGAAAGAGATTCTAACAAGAGAGCCCGTGTTAAAGTTCTATGACCCGGAGAAGAGCACCAGGATTTCGGCAGATGCATCACAGTTTGGTCTGGGAGCAGTGCTGCTGCAGCAACATGACGAGCAGTGGTCACCTGTCGCGTATGCATCGAGAGCCTTGACAAGCGCCGAGTCCAGGTACGCTCAGATTGAGAAAGAGCTGTTGGCGAGTTTGTATGCATGTGAGCGTTTCCATCAGTATGTCTACGGTCAGAGGTTTGAAGTGGAAACTGATCATAAACCCTTAGTGTCCATCATGAACAAACCCTTGAATGACTGTCCGGTACGCATACAGCGTATGCTAATCAGGCTACAAAAGTACGACGTGCACATGATATACACACCAGGTAAATACATGTACGCCGCCGACACCTTGTCTCGAGCAATAGACAAAGAAGAACATGCAGACAGTGAGAAAAGCACAAAAATACAGGCATATGTGGACATGGTCGTGTCATCCTTGCCTGTGACTGCGGACAGAACAGAACAAATACGGAAAGAGACAATCGCAGATAACACCATGAAAGAACTCAAGAGCACGATACTAAAAGGGTGGCCGGACAACAAAAAGAATTGTCCTGAGAAAATACAAGATTATTGGAATTGCAGAGCAGAGCTTACGGTGGTGGATGACCTTGTACTGAAAGGAAGCAAATTTGTAATTCCATCCTCACTACGCAAACAAATGCTCCAGAAGATACATGAAGGTCACCTCGGAGAAGTCAAGTGTAAACGTAGGGCGAGAGAAGTGATGTATTGGCCAAGAATCAACCAAGATATTAGCCAGACAACAGCAGCATGTGAACTGTGTCGCATCTACAGGCCAAAACAACAAGCAGAGCCGCTGATGAACCATCCAGTACCCCACAGACCTTACCACAAGGTAGGAACTGATCTGTTTGACCTTGATGGAAAGAGCTACATAGTAGTCACCGATTACTTTTCCAACTATCCGGAAGTTGGTGCTCTGCAGTCAACATCAAGCAAGGCAATCATCAGCTATCTGAAGGCAGTGTTCGCCAGACATGGTGTCCCATGTGAACTGTTTTCAGACAATGGACCTCAGTTTACCAGCCACGAGTTTGCTCACTTTGCCAAAGAATGGGGTTTCCATCACTCCACGTCAAGCCCCATGTATCCAAGGTCCAACGGCTTGGCGGAGTCCTCTGTAAAAACGATTAAAACTATGATGAAAAAATCACAAGACAGAGATAACTTTCAAAAGAATCTGCTGATATACCGGAGTGCACCTCTACAAAATGGGCTGTCACCAGCTCAAATGCTGATGGGTCGCCGCATTCGTTCCAACCTACCAGTGTCAGAAGACCTGCTGACACCCAAGAGCGCATGCAGAGTCCAAAAGTCAAAGGAGGAGCAAAAGGCAAAACAGAAAAGACTGCATGATCGTTCAGCAAAACACTTACCTGTGCTGAAGCCTGGAGACGTTGTGCGCCTCAGGGACATTCCTACAGGGACATGGAAACAGAAGGGACAGGTGGAAGAGGAAGTTGCTCCACGCTCTTACAAGGTCCTGGTGGGAAATGGCCTAACTCTGAGGAGGAATCGCACGGATCTACAACTACAGTCATCAGTGGAGGGTCCTGCGGTTCAAGACACTCTTCCACAAGACACAGTTGGTTCGGGGGAGTCGACTGACACAGGGCCTGTTCAAGCTGACCATGATATGACAGCAGTGTCAACGTCACCAGCTGTTGAAAGGATGTCAAGACCTAAGAGACATGTTCAGCCTCCAAAAAGGCTAATTGAAAGTTGTTTTAAAAAAAAAAAAAAAAAGTTTGTCTTTATGCTTGCAGTTCTATGATAAGGATATTGTTGTGAAAAAACAAACAAAAAAAAAACAAAACAAACTGTAACATCACCTTGTTTTGAAGGGTAAATATAATTTCCTTATGTGATAATATTATTTCTTTAAAGGGGGGAAGATGTGGTGTTATGAGTAGAATAACATAAGAACTTCATTTCCCAGCATGCCACAGTAGTTAGGTTGCAGAGTACAAGTTCGGAAGTAAAAGAGTCCCACGAGTTCTATCCAACACGCCTCGTCTCCTTTATTTTAAATATCACGAGAGACAACACAATTAACGCGGCAGACGTTACAGCAGATGTTACGTTGCTCTATAAATAAACCAGAAACATAATATCAATGGCCACTCACCCCCTTCATGAATACAAAAGCATGTAATCGGACCTGAATGATTAAAATCATGTGATGAATCTTTTAAAAAAAATGACCTTATTACTATATGTAGACTTATAGTATTGATATGGCTTGACATCCTCTTTGCAACCCCAAGACGATGCACTGTGTAATCTACAATCAATTTGACCAAAGAATCACCACACATCATTGTGAGGCCTATCGACAGTTCACATTCGTATTACTACACCTTGTGACAAATGTTTTATTCATAAAGGTATTCATAATGTCTACAACTAGTAAATTATAGAAAAACTAAGGCTGTTTCATAATATTTTTAATCGCGATTAGCCTTTAGATCAGGGGTCCCCAACCTTTTTTGCCCCACGGACCGGTTTATGTCAGACAATATTTTCAGGGACCGGCATTTAAGGTGTGGCGGAAATAATACAACAAAATAATATGGTATGAGCTGCATGAAAACTGTGGTGTTTTCGAAATATAATAATAAACACAAGGAGCGTCTAATCTGGCCGCAACACTCCAATCGCTATGGCAATGTTTAATGCCTTCAAAATACGATACAACGCAAATTCAAAGTGCATGAAAATGACGACTCACCACAGCACCGAGCTTGATTTTCTGCAACCAGACGGCCCATCTCGGGGTAATAGGAAACAATGACACCTCAAGTGTGTGGTTTATGTCCAGTCTACTTCGTAATTTTGTTTTCGTCGCCGTTGCTGCAGAAAACCCCCTCCTCACACAGGTAGCATGTCGGATATAGCAACAGTGCTATTGTGGCCATCTCAGAGTATTCAAGATTATGTAGGAATAACTGCTCCAAGTGAAAAATGTTCATGTAAAATTGAAAATCGAAATTGTTATTTCAATAAATATTTGCATTTTGCACATAGAAAAATGATTCATGATTCCATGTTGATGAGAGCATTCAAATGGGGAAAAATAGGACAAAAAAATATAAAAGAAATTCAGAAACGATAAAAAATGCGTGCGTAATCACGATGAATTTTTAGTGAATTTGAGTTAATTATGACCTAGCATTTTTAATTAGATTAAATATTTTAATCGTTTGACTGCTCTAATATATATATATGTCGATAGATGGCAGCCCGGTGGTCGAGTGGTTAGCGCATCAACCTCACAGAGCAGAGGTCGTGTGTTCGATCCTGGCTGTGTTCCCCCCGTGCCTTGTATTGGGTTGTGTGGGTTTCCTCCGGGTATTCTGGTTTCCTCCCACATTCCCCGAAAAAAAATAAACATGCATGGTAGGCTGATTGAACACTCTGAATTGTCCCTAGGTGTGAATCTGAGTGGGGATGGTTGTTCGTCTCTGTGTACCCTGTGATTGGCTGGCAACCGCCTACTGCCCGAAGACATCTGGAATAAGCTCCAGCATGCCCCGCGACCCTTAAAGCGGATCAGAAAATGGATGGATGGATGGATGGATGTACATTTATTCATTCTGTACCTGCATGTGTTTCTTCCAACATTCCAAAAACCTGCATTATAGGTTGATTGAACGCTCTAAATTGTCCCCAGGTGGGATCGTGAGCACGAATGTTTGTTTCTCTGTGTGATTAGTTGGCAACCAGTTGAGGATGTACCCCACCTACTGTCCCAAGACACCGGGGATAGGCTCCAGCACGCCTGTGACCCTCGTGAGGAGAACTGGCTCAGATAATGGATGGATGGATGGATATATTCTGATGATAACAGTCAAGTCACTGTATGTTTCCAAAGAATGAAACAAACACCGCTTTAAAAGCCAGTGGGACCACACCCTGAGACAGGTAAATATATTCTTCAAAATCTTCTGTCTCAAAATATTTAAACAGAATTTATCCTTTAAAGAAAACCACTCAAGAAAGGGGAGATGACAAGGCAGTGTTGGATTTCATTTTAGTGATTTATTTTCCTATCAGTGACAGCAAAGAATTGTGAGGGATATAATTTATTTACATGATATTCTGACTAAAGACACTTTCATCCTTCAACTACACTCAGCTTGGGTGCATCTAGATCCATCAGTGCGGTCCACCTGTCTGATCAGCTACTCTTAACGTCATCTATGCTTTTATGCATACAGAGCGGTTGGGGATGTTACACCGGATGCATGCTAGGTTGTTTTTTCCAGCGGTGTTTGACAGAGCAAGGTAAACGTCGATGATATATTGGTGACTTACTATCCTGGCGGAAAATTATATTGTGGATGAGTGCATGAAAATGGACTAACTGGGATGTTGGATGCTATGTCAGCTGGGGTGGGGGACGGTTGGAGGGGGTACCATCTCATTGGGCCTATGAGCCCCTTTAGGACTTCTTGAAGACCTGCTTGGAGACAACTCCTCCAGCTCTCAGCTCCTAGAAAGAAATTAAACACAAGTTGAAGAGAGAGCAACGTTCAGCAAGATTGCCATGTAAAAATTGTGCATGTGCTGCAATCACATTCACAGTATTGGGTCAAACTACATAACTTAAGAAAGGATTAAAAAGGTCTGAATAACCACTGTAAAGTGTCACCAAAAATTAGAAAGTGTTTGTGTGGTGTCTCTTTAACGTAAAAGTGTATGCTTACGTAAACAAATGTATCTAAAGTAAAGCTATGCGGTTGTTGGAAAAAAAACACATTTTAATTCTCTTTGTTTTGTGTTTAGTTTGGCAATCACCTTCAATCGGGACTGTCAAAAACATCTTAAATCCATCTTTTTGTATTGTTTTGTTTTGTATCCTAAGTGTTCCCAAGCTAAAGCAACATGCCGTCCGAACAACACGACAGCTCATATCTCGTACATTGAGTCACTCGTATCCCAAGACACCGCTGCATTTAGAGTCTTCAATGAACCTAACTCACGCATCTTTGAAATGTGGGAGGAAGAGGGGGAAAATTCCATTTGCCATTAAAATGGTGGCCGAATGTGATTCTCTTAATGCACTCCCCCAAATCCATTCCGTGCAAAGCAGGACCATTTTCTTGTGCCTTGCAACAGTTTCCTCCCACCAGGAATCACTGCTGCTTGAAAATCAAAAGCTCCATCAGTCTCTCCTCTGATGCCCTGATGGCTGCTACCTGAAAGCAAAACTTTGGGCCGTCACTGAAATTAAATAATGCAGCTGATTACTTTTGGCTTCAGCCTTAACACAGAAGGAATCCTCATTTTGCTGACCTTGTGAGATTGGTCATGACTTCACAGACTTCTTTTCACATGGTAATGCTTTTATTAGAGACTACAATGGGGCATGAGATAAGATTTGAAAGGGGACTCAGTGAAGTGTTTGTAACAAATTACAACTGCAAAATCAAGAAAAGAACATGTTATTGTGGGGCAGCACAGTGAAAGAGTGGTTAGCATGTGTGTTGCTCAAATTTGAGGTTCTGTGTTTGAATCACAGTTCCAGATTTCCTCAGAATTTTCTCGGACTATGGCCACATTTCAAAAACATGGGAGGTTCATTCATCACTAACTTGTCTATATGTACACATATGAGCGTGACCCGAATGTGCAATAAGCACTTTAGAAAATAAATAGATGGAGTGATAGTATCTGTGATCTGAGCATCCTCACACAAACATATAAGCATGTTGCAGATCTTTTAGCTACTGTATATTCCTATTATGGGTTTTTACAATATAAAGGCAACTCTAAAGAAGATATACCACAAGTATTTGCCAACCGCCAAAAGGATGTAGAAGAAGAAGAAGAAAAAGAAGAACCAGTCACTGCAACCAATGTGACGTGCTGTATGTCGTTACTTTGCTGCTGACTCTCACAGAACAAAAGAAGGGACCGTTTCACCAGCTAGCTTGCTAGTTTAGCATGCGACATCTGCCACATCAAGCATTTACTATTTACAGCACCAAAGGTGCAATAACCGACCATGTTTTCTACATTTGGCCACAATGCGACACAGGATTCTGGTTACGGTAAGCCATTTTAAACTCAAAAGAAAAAAAAAGTATGAAGTTAGAAGCCAAACTATCAAATCCTACAAGAACTCGTTGGCTGCCGTCAACAAGAATAAAGTGGGGATTTTGAGTTTGAGTCTGAACTCTAATATAAATACTTATAAGTCAGACCTGAGTATGTCATTGGACCAGCCAACCTATGAATAAAATGTGATTAAAGTCAGGAAAATGCAGTAGGCTATGTGTCCGTTTTACAATTACGGAGGGTGACAAATAGCTTGAAGCAAGCATGTTTGTCTTAGTTGGAGACCTGTTCATTCCCCCAATTCGTGTTCTTGATAAAATAGTCGTGTTTTTTAATATGGTTATGTCTGTTTGTTTCAAGAATTTGTTTCAAGTGTGTGGGAGGAATAAAATCCAAACATTTAAAAATATAATTGTCTCATCTCTCTCTGTATGGCGGATTTTTACCAATTGTGATTGGCGTCTCATCGTCAGCTAACGTGCCGTCGGATTGATAAAGAAACTCTTGGAAATTAAGACTCTCTTTAGCACACCACAACTGAAGTTGGCTTGGAATTGCAGGACAAAATATATGCGGCGTGCATATGCGCCGAGAGGCATTTCCTGACTTGGATTTAAGTATCCAAAATGTGCGATTGATATTCACGGTGGGTGCTGATGATGTGTCCTTACCAGATGAAGCTCGTCTCCGTCCACCCAGTGGGTCCAACCTCTTCCTTCAATCTCCCCTTTCTGCACACACACCAGTTTATCTCCTTCCCAGGTAATGGTGGTCTGAGTGTACAGGTCAAGATGAGAGATGTATTCCGTTAGTATATCTGGACTGTCATCAACCCCGACAGAAAAATCAATCATCAATAGTACCTGTCGTTAACACATCCATGTAAACACGCTGCCTGTCAACATGACGATAATATCAGATCATAACGGATGCATGTGACCCTGGACCTCAGCCTTTAATTAAGATTAGAATTTATCTGTAATCAGGATACCAAATCACAGTTTCTCTCTCAAGGTATAAAGGATGACTTTCGGCATCGGCGTTTCTGGCTGTTGTTGAGAAATGGCTTTTGCTTTGCACAGTAGACTTTGAACTTGCACATTTGGATGTAGTGCCAACAGTATCGACTGACATTGGTTTTCCGAAGTGTTCCTGAGCCCATGTGCTGATATCCTTGACGCATTTTTGATGCAGTGCCGCCTGAGGGATGGAAGGTCACGGGCATTCAATGTTGCTTTTTCAGCCTTGCTGCTCACATGCAGTGGATTCTCCAGATTCTCGAGCCTTTTTGATGATATTATGGACCATAGACCGTAAATCTCAACTCAACTGTATTTATAGAGCACTTTCAAACAGCCATCGCTACATACAAAGTGCTGTACATCCCTCATTGAAATCCCTCAATTCCTTGCAATTGTACGTTGAGGAACATTGTCCAGCAACAGTTTCTCATGCAGTTCTTCACAAAGAGGTGAACCTTGCAACATTTTTGCTTGTGAATGACTGAGCAATTCAGGGAAGCTCATTTTCTACCCAATCATGGCAGCCACCTGTTCACCTGTTTCAAACAGGTGTTTGATGAGCATTCCTCAACTTGCTCAGTCTTTTTTGCCCACCGGTTCCACCCAGCTTTTTTGGAACATGTTGCAGCCATCAAATTCTAAGTTCATGATTATTTGACAAAACCAATAATGTGTATTAGTTTGTATCATGTGTATTAGCTTATATATTATGTTTAACACAACATCAAGTTCATTGGAATTGGGTTTGTGCTATTTGTTCCAGAAATTGCATTTATTCTTTATTCTTAACAGTCTATTTCTCTTCATTTCATACTGTTTGTCTTGGCTTCATTGCTTCCAGCATGTCTATGTTGTGCATGTTAGATTTTTCTCTGTCCAGTCAACTGTCAGCCTATTTGTGTTGCCACATACATTCAGTCTGCCCAGAGCCTTCAGAATCAGTAGTGCTGGCTCATGTAACTGTAGACGCAAAAAGGGGCTGTTTCTATAGCCAGGTGGATTTCAAATTCGCAAGCTGGCTCACAAGAACGTCAGTATTTTCCTGTCCTCTGATTGGTTGGTCAGAGCAAGGTAAGTTTGACAAGCCAAACAAGTTAGTGTAGATCTGAACACATTTAATAACCGGCACCTGTTGTAAGTTTGATGTATTTTATTTAATATTTTAGTTTTTGTCATGCTATTAGATTACAACAATTCTGAACTGCTCCAAATGATGTACGCCGCACAGGCGACTGCTGTTATACAGTGGTTTTGTATAGTATTGGTGGTTTTTAAAATTACGAGATGACAGAGATGGTATTTAGAGATAAATGAAGTCAGAACAACGCCCCCCTCAAGGCCGAGGTACTGAACGTATGGGTTGCCACTGTTTTTTACCGTATGTAAATATTACAACCTCTCATATTTTTTGCACCCACTCACACTGTCACGCAACCGCACAATCCAATGAGATCAGAGGGTAAAGCTCAGGGAGGTGTTTCTCATTTAGAGGGGCTAAATGAGAAACACCTCCCTATTTGGCTACATGGGAGGGTCAAAAGATTGGAAACAGATTTCTGCAACCACAAGAATAAACACGTTTCATGAAATGTCTGTTACTCTTCCTTGACATTTCAAATCACCACCTTCACATTGGGTCACATCGGTACTCACCATACACTTCCTGTCATCCACCCCGGACAGATCCTCCTCAAACTCCTTGCCCACATAGAAATCCATGTTGTAGTTTTTGAAGGTACTGAGGGTTTTGATGATGATGTGATCCCCTTCATGGACGATGTCCTTGTCCGGCTTCAGCAAAGTGGCAATTTTCCGGATGGCAACATTAACATCTGCAACAAAGTGCCCAGATGAAAATACATTGTTATTTGTTCACAGCCAAGACATTCTACACTTTTTACTTCTGGTGAGATTATTTCAAAATGTAGTGAGTGGTTTTATTTTTAATTAGCAGCAAGAAAATAATACAATCTGCCAATCATGGAAAAGCACCAATTAAAAGACCCACAACATGTCAGTTGGCAGGGTTAGGTGATTTCTTCCTGACAAACTCACCAAGAGCCTTGAGGTACTCCTCAAAGTTGTCATTGGAAATCATTTTCCAGTATCCGTTCAGATCCACCGGCATTTTGGCAGCTTCTCCAGGGGTTCCCTTACTCTGAGTGGTCGAGGAGGTAGTAGCGGAGGGCCACTTGTGCTCGAGAGCAAATCCCGCCGTCAGAATCTCCCATTTGAAGCAAACTCAAACCCTAATCCGATTACGTGCCAGGTTTTCGATTTTCTTTTCACCTCCCATTTCCCAGCTCATGCTAAAATCACGCAAGCCTCGCTTTGATTTATCCTTGGCTGGAACTGCACAGGCCCACATAATATACAATGCACCTGTGTGTGCTTCATTTCGCAGTGTGCTTACAACGTCGATGAGGGATTAGGATAAGTGAACTTCCTTCAGGTCCATATATATATAACGCCACGTGTTGGCCCTGAGCCCTGATTTATTCTTATAATGAGTTACTTTTAGTAAAAACAGAAGATACAGCAACTTGATGCAGAACATGTGTCGACTGTATTAAAATAGCCTGAATGAGGAGTTCCACAAGCACGATCACCCGAGCTGAAAAAAAAGAGACAAAAGGAATGAAACAAAAGAGGCTCGTCAAGGCCTTGGTTTTGTTGAAAACCCATTTCATTTACTAATCTCACACTGCAGCTAAATTCTTTGTGAGTAGGAACACATGCTCTTTTCAAAAAAGATGCCAATGAGCCTTCACAAGTCAGAAGGAAATACCTCCAATAGTTTAGCAGCTGCCAGGAAGATCTGGCGGACACGCAGTGACTAAGCAACTAAACATCCTTTCATCCATCCATTTTCGACAGTGTTTGTCCTCATTTTGGTTGCACGTGAGCTGGAGCCTATCCCAGCACCCTTAAGTGGTCGCCAGCCAGTCACAGAGCACATATGGAGAAACAATAATTCACAATCACACGATAGACAATGTCGTCTTCAATAAACCTGATTCTCCTTGGGAATCTTCTAGGCCACAGGTGTCGAACTCCGGTCCTGGAGGGCCGCTGTCCTGCATGTTTTCCAAGTGTCCCTGTTGCAACACACCTGATTCAAATGATCAGATCATCAGCAAGGTCTGCCGAAGCCTGATATTGAACCTGTTCATTTGAATCAGGTGTGTTGCAACAGGCAGAGTTGGAAAACATGCAGGACAGCGGCCCTCCAGGACCTGAGTTTGACACCTACTGTATGTTCTAGGCTGAAGAATTCTTCTATTCCGTTTTTTAAAATTCAGGCCGAAAGAAATAAAACTATTGCCTTGACACCAGCTTGGTGCCAAAGAACGATGTGGAAATGAGTTTAACAGCTTCATTTAGAAACAATTTGTGTATTTCTGTCATTCTTTGGCATCTGGAGGCCAAGAAACCATGTTGGAGTGAGTTGAGGGGCTTCATTTAGACAAAAGTAGTCCTTTGCTGGTATCTTGTGGCATCTGCACCAAAATATGACAGATTTAATGCCATCAAGTTCGACACATCTGGTAAAAGACGTTCAAATGAGGTAAAATCAATATTTACATTTGAAATGTCAAACTGATTTATTTTTCAGGATTAAGCAGTGAAAAATTGAGAATGTCGGTATGTGGCTTGGTATGAAGGGTGCATTCTGCAAAAAACGGGAAAGGGCTGCACTTCAAAGGGAAACTGCTTGTGTTCGTCGGGGTGGGTCACTGACCTCCAAATCAGCTCACATTTGGGACTTTTTCCAAAAGTTTCGAAACAATTTGGGTTTTGTCCTCATGTATTATTCAACCAAATATGAGAAGCCTGTCTCCATTTTATAAAAGTGTGATCTCTGGTCACATCGTAGTTTTTATGGGGACAAAACATAGATTATAAATCTGGAGATGGAAAAAAAATGCAGCCATTACAACAGCCAGAAAACAAAATCAAGAGCACCAGCCAAATAGTACAGTATAAAAACTACATGTTTTTGACTTCCAACCTTGTGACACCGCACACATGAGAAATTGAAAACATTTAGGAGAAAATGTTATGAGAAGTGACCCAAATAAAAAGGCCCGGACCTAAGAAGCAGATAGGCACCAAAAATAAAAATTTACTTTTTCCAAAGTAGCAACACAAAATTAATATACTCAAAAACAAAACTATTATATACACGAGAAAATAAAGTAGCAACTGAAAATCACCTTCTTCAGGGACATACTTGTGACAACAAGATAAACGAGATCACTTGGTGACTCTTGAGGCTGCAACGCATGGCAGGAGGAAAATCAGCAACGTGGCGAGACAATGGGCACGGCAAGGATCCTCCAGCAGAGAACAATGGGAGAAGTTGGTTCAATAGGCTGCCACCTATTCACGCTTATGTGGCAAAGGTGAAGGGGTGAGTGAGAGGAGAGCAGAGGAGGAAGGGGAGGAGCAGGAGTAGGCAGAGCAACATGGCAAAGGCTAAACAGAACCACGACAGAAAACTTCATCCACAAAGCGAACACGACATGTCCATGAAGTGAAGTAGAGCAAAGGCTGGTGAAAATGTTTTCTGCGAATCCCATTCAAGTCCAACATCAATGATATTGTTGTGCAAATCTCCACCACACTGCAGGAGAGTAAATTAAATCCCCGTGACCCTGGGAGAAGAGAAGCACGGATCTGTGATCGACTTCATACTTCAAGGATGTCTTGTGATCAGCTCACTCTTGTCAGTCACCCAGATTCTCTGCTGGCAACCAGGCCTGCATGAAAGCTGCCCCCTACCCCACCGGCAGAATGACTGACCACACTATCACAAGGGCTCAAGTGCCAAGCACCGTGAGGCCAGACACGCTCCATACGTACGTATGTAGAGCTGGTGCATCATCGGCTCGTGGAACTCTTGGGAGACGTGTTGATGTGTGTCATTCATCTAGACTTTCAAAGGGCTGCTGTGCTTGTTTGGCGAGCGGCCTCAGAGCCATGCCCTCATTTCTCCTTTCGCTGTCCTCGGTGTAGAGGTTGTGCTGCTCAATGTATTCTATTACAGAGTCTGGGATCAGGTATTTGACGCTCAATCCCCGTCGGAGAGCCCGCCGGACCTCTGTTGCGCTGGTCTCGTTCCTTACCCATTCTTTCACCTGGAACACATTTCAGGACAGCCAGTGGGCGAACCCTGCATGGTGCATGACAGCTCGGTTAGGTCCGGCTGCAATGCTAAGGTGGCGTTCGCTTAAAACTATCTGACCTGACAGTAGAATATTTTGTGAAATTATTTTTTTGAAAAATAATCCCTCTCTGGTGGAATCTTATGCCTACAACTGCATTTTCATTATTATTATTTTATTATTTTATAACTTAAGACGGAACGACAGAACCGGGCCTATCAGAGACAGTAGGAAGAGTGTGTCAATCATTTTCACGCACATGCACCCTCACGTAGACTCAGTCTGCCGGCTGACCCATACAGCAGCATCACACTGATAATTTTCTCAGACACATTATGGAACTCCAGTGATCAACAAAAGTAAAAAAAAATCAGGAACTGCAAAGCTCTCAAGGGGCAAAGGTGTAATATTAATTTCCAATGCGAACAGCTGCATCGCCGGGCCTACCTAATATTTTTTGATTGTACATTCTGAGAAAGATAACCGGTAACATTTTGTGTTTGGCAACTCATGTCGGCATGTATAGAGTGCACATTTTACATACAGTGCATGTCACGTGCGCATTTGTGAGGGGTGTGGCCTTGGTCAGGAACGCCAGGGTAGGGAGGGAGGAGTGAAGTGAGGCGAGATTCAAATCTTGCTCACAGCCAGTGATCAACAAAAGTAAAAAAAATCAGGAACTGCAAAGCTCTCAAGGGGCAAAGGTGTAATATTAATTTCCAATGCGAACAGCTGCATCGCCGGGCCTACCTAATATTTTTTGATTGTACATTCTGAGAAAGATAACCGGTAACATTTTGTGTTTGGCAACTCATGTCGGCATGTATAGAGTGCACATTTTACATACAGTGCATGTCACGTGCGCATTTGTGAGGGGTGTGGCCTTGGTCAGGAACGCCAGGGTAGGGAGGGAGGAGTGAAGTGAGGCGAGATTCAAATCTTGCTCACAGCATGAAAACTGCACAGTTTGAAGATTTAATTGAGTGATTCTTTCCATGCCACAAGAGGGTGCTCATTTACCGATTCACAATTTGCCAGTCACTGACCTGGAAGATGTTTTGTCTGTAACGCCAAAGGGTGTCCGATTCGTGCACCGTCTGCTCGGGCTGCAGCCCGCCTCGACTAACACACACCAAGCCAAAGCCCCCGACCACCTCCTCCATGTGGTCATCCCGCCACAGGCCAGGGATCTTGAAGGTTTCCAGGAAATCAGCTCCACACAGAAGCTTGAGTTGAGGAGGAATGCCTGCAGGGAAAAAGAGGTTCAGAAAGTGAGAAGGAAAGCTGGGTCCGGCGTCCGAGGCTGTGGTCTATAATGTGAAGAGTCCTTAAAATGCAGCCCACAAACGTAATGTCATCAGAACTGAGCGTTACTCAGACCCTCTTGCAGACATTGCATATCACAGTTCCTTTCCAAGGAACTGATTTGGTATGCTGTGGGTGGCCACAAACAACCTTTTTGCAGGCACGTCATATTTGCGATATATTGTGGCCACAATTTCCATTGTTTTTTCCCCAATGCCTTGTCTGGGCCTCTATGTGTGAGACATTAGATTAGGATAGTCGACTTTTGGTGATTTGCTAGATGGACCAAAATTGTAACTCAATAGTTAGGCCTTCTGAAAAACACATGCCTAACCGTTCAGTAATTCCGTACTTTTTTGCACAACATGCCAATCTTTAAGTCAGCGGTCCCTAACCTTTTTTTTGACCCACGGACCGGTTTAATGTCAGACAATATTTTCAGGAACTGGCCTTTAAGGTGTGGCGGATGAATACAACAAAATAATATGAAAACAGTGATATTTTCTAACCATAATAATAAACACGAACCATGACACGAAGAACGTTCTATCTGGCCACAACACTCTGGTCGCAATAGTAACATTTAAACATGCCTTGAAAATAAGATACACTGCAAATGCAAAGTGCATGAAAAATACGACTCACCATTGCCACATATTATGCAGAGTGCGCTTGTTGCGTGGGAATCCCCCATTGAGATAAATCAGTATTTTAAGTAGGACTCTTGATACTATCCATTAAATGTAGCCTTCTTTTTCTTGAAAGTCGTAGGCCCATTTTCTGTCTCCTGGCTGGGTCTTTTCCCCTTGCCAAACATGTTCGTTTTTTACTCATTTTGCTATCGCCTGGGTTTCATTTTAGCGGTAACCTATCACGTGACCGAGAAGCGCGCCTTGACCTGCGTCAAGAGTGACACAATGTAGAGTAGATGGATGTAACAGAGACTCTGGTAATTTTTCAAAAGAAAACATCTTTCAGATTCTGAAATAAATAAAACGGAAGTAATATAAGTTCTTTATTCTTTCTGTCAGGCCTGATACCAAATGACCCATGGACCGGTACCGGTCGGCGGACCGGGGTTCGGGACCACTCTAAGTAAGGATGTGAACGGCAAAATTCACAACAACTGCTATATGTGTGAGGGTCAATCGCCTTGTGTGAAGGTGGCAGTCACTGACTGCATTTTGTTTCGCGGTTGATCAATTCAGTTACATTCAGCCAGCTCAATGTCCACTGACTCAGCATTGAAAGGGCCCATACATGTTGCGCTAGCAGGTGAGTTGTTAGTTGTGCAACAATGCAAACCAATGCGACCTGTGGTCGCGAACAAAGTCTTAAGAGCGGCGTATTAACATGATCTCTAATACTCTGAAGCCGGCAGTCGGCTTTTGCTCAAGCACGTGTTCTAACGCATTGCTCGATACAAATCCTTCACGCTGACTCTAAGCTTGTAAAAGAGCAATATATGCAAAAGAAAAGATTTCACTGATAACCATGTGCTTTTGTACACTCAAACAATTGGCAAACCACCAATCGCTCCAATGCAGCATTTGTGTATCTTAGCACAGAGGTCCCCAAATCACTGGCCCGGGTAGCCATGTGGCAACAGGTACACAGATAAGACTGAATTTTGCATTTATTTGTTTTTGTAACCAAGCATATTAATCCCTATTAGGATTATACGTCCATACGCCCGGCCCCCATGGCAATGAGTTTAGTAATTTAGTTGAGTTACTTTCTGGAATCAATTGTTCCTAACCTGGTTGTAGCTGGTAAAAATATTTTTGGGCAGAAAGATACTACAGTAAAAAATTCACCCCAAAAGGGAAAGGGACTTTTTATGGTTTTGTGGGTAATAAATTCTTACTTTGTGAGTGACCTCTGATTCCACTGGAGTCTTCGCGTATCCTCTGTTCATACTCGTTTAGAATACGACCATAATGATGCCTGTCAGGAAAAAGGTGTGAAGTTAGTGAACTCCATGTGAAATATAAACCACGTCAATTTTTTTTCTGGCATGTTTGACAACTTGTATTATTCAAATGCCTAATGACGCTTATTAATCAGATGGAGCTAAATCAGAGGGAATAATTGTGAAAAAATTCACTTGTGCGTCTCTCTGCTAAGCTTCTTACAGCAGTTATATTATGAGTGTTGGTTGGTGAAACGAGGGGTGGTGCTCAGCGCCTGGAAACAACGGCCCGCTTTATGTCATGATCAGCAGGTTACACAAATGCAGATCAGAAACAACAATGTGAAGGGGAGGAGCAACGGTCGTAAGGGGATTTGTGTGGAATCATGAGAAAGGGGGGAAGGCCAATGCAAAAAATGGAGGTGGGTGAATGAAGCAAGCTGAGGGTCGATTGACCAAATTAGCAAGAAGAAATCACAGCCACTTTCACGTGGCAATCCAAGAAAATTGGGGCACAAGGAGCATTAGACAGAATATAGCTTGTGTAAAGTGCAAGTTAACACAGTTACGGCTTCGGGTATTCAGATAATTCCATGCGTGGTGATGACAACCACATAGCGAGCGACACTTGCTTTCAATGCAAAGGGGCGCTTCTGCTGTTGAACTTCACTGTAGCCATGGCTGGCGATGCTCTACTTTGGAATGTTGGAACTTGGAAGCAGGCAATTTCACATTGTAAAGTGATTTTCAAGGAACCAGAGGATGACACTGATACTGACCACACAATTGCAAGTCATAGAACGAAACTGCGACAGGACAAATAAAGTCAGGATGATACATGAAGCCTTTTTGGGCGCTGACGCTGTCGGGTGGTCCGTTAGCCATGTTGTGTTTACCCTGCCAGAACTGACGCTGGCCCAGTACATTCATAATTTCACATGATATGGTACAATGATTATTTAAGCCTTGAAGAAAATATTCTTTGTACCGTAAATTCCGGATTACAAGCCGCTACTTTTTTTCCACACTTTCAATGCTGCTGCATGTAATATG